TGCTGAGCAATGACACAGCTACATGCAGGGTCCAAGCGTGCCATAGGCTAGAGACCATTCCCAAGGCTTCTCCTTATATACGGGAAGCAGACCACATCCCAAAGGCAGCTACTCAGCTGCTTGTGGTAGATCCCACCATGGAGTTGATTGCCAGTCTCATCATGGGGAATACTACATCCAGCTTCCCAGCCACTCACCCAGGCCCAGCCAAGTTGACACACAAACATACCTACCACAAGCTCTCTTCCTACTTTCTCCCTATGGTTACCTTTTCCCTGTGTCCTTCTTTCCTATGGATTTCCTCCGTCTGAGCTATCGCCCTGTGCAAACACTGTCCTTCTGATCTCCCATGATTGATTGTTCTAAGGATTGTACCTACCTGATATAAATGTTCACCTTATACACCTTATACACTGTCTATTGTTTGGCTGAAAGCCATAGGAGTGAGTTCAGCCGGAAGGGTGACTAGAGGCCATAGTCTTGGGAGTTTCACCAGTTTCTATCAGACCAGTAGCCTACTCTTTTTTATGATTTTGAGCTTTGTTCCACTTTTATCTCCCACTCTATCCAGAATGTCGTACGTTGTTCCCTTTCTGAGTGGTTGACCATAGTAGCTGGGCACCATCTAGTTCTTCTGGTCTCAGGGTCATGTAGGCTAAGGTTTGTGTGGGCCAGTAGTCCCTTGGACTAGTTGTTTCCATGTGTCTTTGCTTTTCTTCATTCCTCTTTTCTCTGGATGAAGAAAGACCAATTGTTGCATCTTAGATGGCACTTGAAAGCTTTTTAAGACCCCAGTTGCTACTCACTAAAGTAGGGTGTAGAATACTATTTCTGTGTAGTATGTTGTTGGACTCATGAGCTCAGGACCATGGTCCCAGGGGACATCAAGGTCAATTGGCATAGCATACTACATTGTAATAATATACTACACTAAATTTTTCTCCTTAAATAAAAGATGTTAGTAGATTAGTGAACAATAGCTTTTTGTACAGAAAAGCTGGGACAATGAACTGGCTTTGAGATTATTCTTTTTTGTGTTGCTAGCAAGCACTGCACTGCCTGGAAGCTCTTCCCTGTGCTTAAAGGAGAAAGTAATATTTTAGGTTATATTCCTCCTTCAGTTAAGAGTAGTCTTTTCTACGTGAGGGGGGGTAGATGCATGGCATAAGCATAGTGACTCTGTGTCCCATACTGTGCCCAAGGCAGACATCAATAATCAATTATTGTGACTCTGGTGTTCCACACTGTGCCCAAGGCAGACATCATTAATCAATTATAGCACTCTTTCCTAGCCAGCCTATATAGGGCCACTACCAACCACTTAGAGTTGGCAAAAGAGCAGAAACCTATTTGCTATCCCTTTTCCTATTATAAGAATCTACTTTTTCTTGACCAGGGTTGGTAAACTGGCAGCCTGTGAGGTGAGTGAGATCTTCAAATATGCTATGTTTTTCCCACATACAATATTTTATAAATTGTAATTTGAATGCCTTTTGTTGAGTAAACTGGTTTGCCGCAATCTTCATTTTTCCCTGTTGTCCCACGTCTGTCCCTTTTTCCACATATATGTTACTACCCAGCCCCTATAGGTATTTAGGTTTATACCTGTATCTCTCTGCTCTTTCCACTGCTGGTATCTCCAAAACCAAAACCAAACCAAACTCACTGCTGTCAAGTCGGATGCGACTCATAGTGACTCCTCCTTGGGTTTCCGAGGCAGTATCACTACAGAAGTAGATTGCCCCATCTTCCTTCCGAGGAGTGGCTGGTGGGTTTGAACCGCCAGCCTTCTGGTTAGCAGTCAAGTGCCTTAGGCACTACGCCACCAGAGATCCAGGTATCTCCCAAGGAGCCTTAAAACTTTTATTCACATTAAGGAATAAATGACTTAGTGCTTTAACTATTAGTCTTTGAATTTTAATAAGGATTAAATAATTAAATTCTTAAAAATAAGAAACAGAATTGTGATGATGGGACTTCAGGTATCAGCCATTGGAAATTAAGGGCTCTTAGAGCTTCTGAAGTCACCCAGTGAGAAATATTAAAAATAATATCTACCATTGATTGAGAACCTATTACTTAGGAGTCTCTGAGTGGTGCAAATGGTTGAGTACTCAATTACTAACAAAAAGGTTGGTGGTTCAAATGCACCCAGAGAAAGAAAGATCACAGATTGAAAACCCAGTAGAGTAGTTATGCTCTGCACACAGGGGGTCACCATGAGTTAGAATTGACTCAAAGGCAGCTTTTTTAAAAAAAAGTCACTGCTGCAGGTACTTTCATAATTAGCTCAGTTATTGAGCACTTACTGTGTGCCAGATGATTTGCATGTATTATTTAATTACCCCTATAACTCAAAGGAGCTCTGGTGGTATCATTTGGCTGCTAACCAGGAAGTCAGAGGTTCAAACCCACCAACTACTCTGCAGAAGAAAGAGGGACAATCCACTTCCGTAAAAATGTACAGCCTTGGAAACCCAGTGGGACTCAATGGCAGTGACTTTGGAGTTTGCGTTTTATGACTTATAGCAGTAGATGTTTTCATTGATGTGCTGATAAAGAGCTCTCAACGAAAAAAACCCAGAGGGAGGAGAGGTAAGGGGGTGCAGTAATTTATAGCACTTGCCAGTTTACATGGTGTAAATACTCCCACTCTAATGATTTTAAGGTACCAATGGTTTCCTGAATATTTAACAATGAGAACAAAAGGCAAGCAGGTGCAAGGTGGATCCAGCACACCATTTCACAGACTAGGGAACTGAGATTCAGGTGAAGTGCCTTGCCTAAGGGGACATAGCCTGGAGAGGCTGACTAGTATTATATTCCAGACCTAATTCCCCTGCTCCACCCTGTCCACAGTGATTGCCAGCCCCATCCTTTAGGGCAGTCATTGGGGAGATTGAATACATCTGTAAACAGGGTCCAGTTGGGGAGAGAAAGGAACTAGAGGGAAAATGTTGCCGTGGAAGAAGTAAAGACCTGGCATCCAACAGTCCTGGGTTCAAATCTTGCCTTCTTTTACCAGCTGTGTGATTGTGGATGGGTTCTTCATCTCCCTTAGCCTCCGTGCCCCCATCTGTCAAATGGGAACAATAATGGTGCCCACCTCAAAGACTGGACATGCCAGAAATAACTTGTATAAATAACCTTTTGCATAGCAGATACTCAGTTAACAGTGTTCCTGGCCTTGTAGGAAGGCTCAGAGAGGAGCCTTCCTTTCTGGGATGGAAGGTCAGAGGAGCCAGAGTGGCATGAGCTGTTGGGAACATGAGTGAGAGGTTAGGAAGTACCATGATCCAGTGCAAATGAGCTAACCTGAAGAGCATGGCCAGAGGGGCCTGCATGCACTGACAGTAGACCCAATTCTCTTTAACCTATGCCTTTTTTTTTTTTTTCACAGCTAGTGCCATCATAGGAATCATATTCATCAAAGAAAAATGGAAACCTAAAGATTTCCTGAGTAAGTTCAGTGATTTGAGTTCTGTCATAAATTTTATGCTTGTGCTGTTTTGTTCATTATAAAACCAGCTCACCCCAACTTAGATATTATCTGTCTCCTACCCACCCCCTACGGTTCTATATACTCCCCCCTCAAACTCCTGAAAGTTTAAATCAATGGTTCCCAAATCACCAGAATCATCCATAATGCTTTTGAAAATGGACTTTTATTCATTCCATTCAATCAGTATTTATTCAGCATCTTTTTTTGTGTGATTTTAGAAGACCCAATAAAAGGGACCCTTCTTCCCTGACTGAGTTCTAAAGCAATGAGAGATAAACACAGAAGATTAGCAATTTTGTTTTATTTTAATAAAAACTAGATTGGGGCATGTGGGGTAGGTGTGTGACCAAATGAAATTGCTCACACTCTCCCTCAGTACTCCTCAGCACCCAGGCTAGACCTTGGAGCAGTCCTCCCAAGGAAAACATTTGAGTTTCCAGAGTGGAGACATGTAGAACTACTACCTATAGACTATATGCAGATGTCTAGGGTGGAAAAGGAAGAAAAGAGAGCAATGCTTTGGTGTTTAAATTCTTTTGATAGGTTACCTCCAGCCAATTGAAAAATATGGACCAATGGAGTGAGAGGTAGAAGTGTCACAGTAATGGTGGTCCCTCCACATGGAAATCCATGGAGTAGGGAAAAAGTGTTCCCCCCAAAACACCTACCAAGTGCTAGGCTTTATTGTAAGTGCCAGGAACATACATATGGGGTTTCTGTTCTTACAACCTAATGTGTGTTGGGGGGTGGGGAGATACAGTAAACAAATGAACAGCTAAATAAAATAATTTTAGATCACAGTGAATGTTTCAGAGAAAATAGAATGCTTCTTGGTAGGGGACTGGGGAGATGGGGTTAGACTCTCTGAAGGGGTGCTTTTTGTCCTCAGACCTAAATGATATTGAGAAGCCTGGCATGCCAAGATCTGTAGACAAGAGTGTTCCATGTCAAAAGAATAGGTGCAAAGGCCCTGAGGTAGGAATAAGATTGGTGTGTCCAGTATCAGTAAAGTTGAGACAGCTGGAGGATAGTAAGCAAGAGGGATGAAGGGAGGACATGAGTTCAGAAAGGCATGTAGGAACTGGATGGTGTAAGACCTTATAAGTCATGCTAAGGACTTTGAATTTCTTTCTAGTTGTGATGGGAAGCAAGGGAGTTACATGATGGTGTACCAGATCCTACTCCCAAGATTCTGAGACCTGGGGTGGGGGCTGGATATTTGCATTCTTACACAGCTCTGGTGGCTAACCAGAAAGCTGGTGGTTCGAACCCACCATCCACTCCTTGGAAGAAGATTGGGCAATCTACTTCCATAGAGATACCACCTTGGAAACCCAAGGAGGGGTTGCTATGAGTTGGGATCAACTCGATGCCAGTGAGTTTGGTTTGGTTTGCTGTAGAGTGAAATCTACTGATGTCTGCAACTTTCTTTGAAATTCATCACAAATGAGATGGATTGATCAGTGGGTAGGGACATGGAGAGATGGATAGATATCCAATAAAGTATAGCAAAATGTCAAAGTGCAGAGTGAGCAAGTTTGGCCACCCACCTAAGCCACATGCTTAGGACTATGGGTGTTCAGTGAACAGTTCTTTCAGTGTTCCTTTGTGTCTGGAAACTTTGAAAATAGAGTGTCAATGGGAGGAAGCTCCTCCCCAGATGTTTTAGACACATAGCCAGGTTTAGGAACCACTGTTGTAAATCATCAACGTGGAATAAGATCCAGGAAGGGCCAGAGAGCAGGAAAAGAAAAGAATCTTATACTTAAAAATGCAGAACTGGCGGCCCTGTACTGTTCAGCAAACAAATGATGCCAAGAAGCTCAAAAGACTCAGACTGACTCTCAGCAGCCCTGATGGGGGTAGAATGGGGTGAGGAAGAAGACCCTGGGCTGGTTCTGAGGCCAGTGGAGAGGTCTGCATCTGTTTGGACCACTCTAGGAATGCAAACCATATTAGTATAGACAGTGCCTCGTGTGAACTGGAAGAAAGATATCCTCTCTGGGTAGCCATAACTCTGTGAGCACACGCCATGGTGAACAGAGCATGGGCTGGATTTTTAGCCCTCCTCACCCCTTCCACCAGGTACCTTTGTGTAGTGAACAACTTCACAGCTATACTGGGCTGCCCTACTAAAGTTCCATTAGATTCAGCAAACATTCACTCAATGCTAGACTTGCTGGACATTGCAGGCAGGAAGTTGAATAAGACCCACTCCTGCCTGAAGGAAAACTTAACACAGCAGACTTGTATAACTTAGCACAGAATTTATCCTTTTGAATTTAACCATGGTTCATTCATTCATTCATTGAACAACTGAACAACTAATATTTGAGTACCTTTGACATTTATGAGGTCCAGTCCTGAGAATAAAAATCAAAGATATTTAATATGGTATCATACATTTTTTGGAGACAGTGGAATAAAATAGGTACAGTCAGAACTATTCTAGAAAAATCCAGTGGCCTTTGGTCCCCATAAGTACAACAGAACTCTCAGCCCTTTTTGGCTTGCCTGGAGTGAGTCGGACCTTGGCCGGCTTTTCATTAACCGATAGGGTTGAGCTAAAGTGTGCCAGGACCCCAGGAAAGAGGCAGGAGGCTATTGTTGTTCACCCAAGAGAATGCCTTCTGGATGACCAGTTGTCTCTGAACACTCTGGTTCTGTAATATTGATAGTATGTATATAGTTAGTTCCCTCAGGAGTAGATTAACTACCCAATTGTATAAGATAATTTTTTAAAGATGTGTAGTAGGCTTTGTGGTTTTCTTTTCCTGTTTTATTGGTTGGTTTATTTGTTTGTTTGTTTTTAAGCTGGCTTATAACATGGTTATAGCTTTAAAATGTTGTTTGTGAAGTACATGTTAAAACCACAACACAATACCATAATTGTAGGATGAAAAAGTCAAAATTTAACAAACGTTGACAAGGCTGCAACCAGAGCTCTCATTCTCTCTCTGCTGGTGGGGATGTAAATTAAATTAGTTCAGCCACTTTGGAAAACCATTTGACCACTACAGAGTACTAAAGCTGGACATTCCCATATCCTAGGACCCAGCAATTCCACTCTTAGTTTTATACCCAACAGAAATACATAATTTTTTCCCCAAAAGATATGTACAGAAATATTCATACCACCATTATTTGTGATAGCCTTAAAACTAGAGACTAGTCAAATGCCCATCAATAGTAGAATGGAACATTATACAGCAATAAGAATGAATGAATTACCACTACACACCACAACACAGATGAATCTCACAATCATAATATTGAGTGAACACAAACACAAAACAGTATACTATAGGGATATATTTCTTAAAGTACAAAACCAGCAAAACTATTAGTACTGTTAGATGTCAGGAGTATGTTATCCTGGTTGCACCATTGTCAACACTTGTTATATTTTGTCTTTTCTGCTTTAGCCATTCTGGTGTGTTGCATTGTGGTTTTAGCATGCATTGGATGGGGGCACAGTGGGGCTTTTGAGATCCTGGTAACGGTCTCTTTGTTAATCCAGGTGTTGATTGCATGAGTGTGTTCCCTTTGCACAATTCATCAAGCACTTTTTTACATGTCTATTATACTTCATTTTGTTGTTGTTGTTGTTATGTGTCGTCAAGTCAGACCCGACTCATAGTGAACCCTCCTAGGCTTTCTGAGGCAGTATCACTACGGAAGTAGATTGCCCAACCTTCCTTTGGAGGAGTGGCTGGTGGGTTTGAACCACCAACCTTCTGGTTAGCAGTCAAGTGCCTTAGGCACTGTGCTACCAGAGCTCTTATACTTCATTATAGTTAGTAATAATAATAATAATATTAAGGAAAATAATCTTTTTTTTTAAAAAAAAGTAAAGGAGAAAAACATAAATTGACCCTGAGTTGTGTTGAGAGCCTTTGATTACTGAGAGCGCATCTCTTGCACTGAATCCTGTGACGGCTTCTCCCCTCCCTACCCTGCAGGGCGCTATGTCTTGTCCTTTGTTGGCTGTGGTTTGGCTGTCGTGGGTACCTACTTGTTGGTGACATTTGCACCTAACAGCCATGAGAAGATGACAGGAGAGAACATCACCAGGCACCTTGTGAGCTGGCCTTTTCTCTTGTACACGGTAAGATAAGTTCCTAGTCCTTCTGTCTGAGATGGCAGGAAGTGGGGGGGGGGGTAGAGGGTTGAATCCTAGAAACGAGAAACCTAAATACCCATCAGTAGGGGATTTGTGAGTCCTGTCATACTTCATACCAGATTGAGAAGAGTACATGGTTCATGAGAAATGCCTTTTTCACTTATGTTGTGAGTAATGTCTACAACTGAATATGCAGTATGATTTTATATAAATCATATAAATATATGATTTTATATGCAAGTTTTATTTTTTTTAAAGATATAGGTTGTATGTATATATAAAATGTCTCTAAACCATCAGTCATTGTTTTTGGGAGATGGGATTTGGACTTGGTTTTTATTTGCTCTTTGTCTTTCATCCAAATTTTTACAGTCACCATTTAATACATTTATGGTGAGGGGAAAAAAAAAGTTAAAATTATAAACAATCATAGAATTTTATTTGTTTATTTATTTCACCTAATACTGCACAGCTGATGGAAACCCACCCCCAACCAGAGAGAAATCCTTTGCCCCGATTCCATCCAGCTTTAGTTCTGCAAATAAATCAAGGAAGCTACTATCTAAGGTATTGGATAAACTTGCTGGTATAGTCCCATTCCACTCCCAACACTTTTTAAAATCTCATCTCACATTTTCTCAACAATTCTATCATGTGTTTTTCACCCCTTTTTATGATGAGACATCTAAGGCTCTGGTAGGTTAGGTAATTTGCTCAGAGTTACAGGACCCATAAGGAGCAGAGCTGGAGTTGAAGGCCAGGGGCCTACCTGACCTCAGGGGCCACCTTCCTCTCACCTGACCTGCTGATGGAGGTATTCACTGACTTCTCCTGGACACAAGCAGCCCGTTCCTCGATGGAGTCTAGAAGCCCTAGGACATTTCTCTTCCTCAGATTGCCCACAGGCAGAGAACAGATTTTCCCAACATTGGGCTGTGCTGTCTCCCTACCACCAACCAGCTCCAGAGGTTACTGTCTTAGAAGGAGCTGTCTTGGAAGGAGCCTTGTGGGTGTGGAGAAAAAGCTAAAGACCCGCCACCCTGTCAGGAAAAGCCTTACCCCAGAACATAGGCTTTTCACTCTGAGAATACTGTTGTGTTGTCTTGACCAAGTCATTTAACTAGAAGCTCCAGTTAAGTCAGTCCTCATTAAATGGCAGGAATCACTAGGCTTCCTCTCCAGGGTGTTGGGAGGTACATGAGGTGACACATAAATCACCCAGCACGTGATAGATGCTCAGTAAGTGGTTGGGTTTGTGTTACCTGATCAGGACCATGAGCCACTGCTGCCAGCTAGAGAGATTTGGCCAAGTCAAATTCAATGAATATTTATCAAGTATCTGCTATGTGCCAGAAACTGTAGAGATAAAAATAAATTAATAAATGAGACATGCTCACAGAGCTCATAGTTTATGGAAGAGACCAGCCTATAGTCGATTCTTGTTTTTGATGGTAGTTATGTTCTATAATGTCCCAGCAAACACTGAATTTTTGAACACTGAACCATTGCTCCTCACAGAAATACAGACATAGGTTTCTGTGAGCTGCTGGTCACAAATCATTGTCAACTGATCAACACATACCTTATTTTGTGTGTGTTTCTGTTTAAAACACCTGACTTAATATATATTGTTGATGCATTAACACTGAACTCACAGTCAATAGCACTATCGTTCATGCCTGAACGAAGCTTATCTAACATGTAATTTTTTCTGTAAGGCACATCTCAGCCTTCTTGGACTTAGGAATACAGCACTTTGGCACCATGCCCCAGGGCCACTGTAAACAGCAAAATTGCCAACAAAAAGCACAAAAGTGCAGAAAATGTGGCATTAAGTAGACTGTGAAAAGGATGCTATTTACAGTCTGAGGGCTGAAACAAGAAGGCAGAGTGACCCCTTGTTTAACCTTAACTGGGAAGGTGCATGGTGGACAAACATAAATACTTCGCTGCTCTGCACATGCCTGCATGTGCCACAAGTTTTGATTTTGGGGGTACAAATTAATTTTAGCAAAAAAGAAAACTTGCAAATACGGAATCCGAGAATATTGAGGACTGATCGTGTATCCAGCCATCTTAACTATACCACTGAGTACTATTCCAGCATTCATGTGAGCATCAGAAAGAATGACAGAAAATTGGAGCCACCTGAATACAGGCACAATGACCGCAAATGTTGATGGTGACTGTCCATCTGCTTGATGGAGTATTCTGGAGCAATTAAAGATAATTATGACAACTGCACAAAGCGTGGGAATTGTTCATGCTGACTGAGAACAGCCCAGTGCAGAATTATACATTGACTGTGATGACAACTAGATAAAATATGTATTCACTGGGACAAAGACAAGGAAGAAACAGGGAAATGAAAACAGCTGTGTTATATGATACTCTAATTATGAGGAATTTTCTTTAAATCCTTTTTAAAATCCCATTAATGTTTCCATGTTTTTGCAACAAATAAACTTTGGTAGGGGGTTGGGTAGGAATAGGGCAGGAGCCATTGTCAAAGTTTGCTGCATCATCTTGCTGGCTGTTGAGCGGGCCTGCCTGTTGGGACAGTATTGGCAAATGTTGGGGGGGTAAGTGGTAGAAGGGTCAAGCTGTTGATGCAAAGCTTCTCAAGCTTCAGACCTGCCGGTGTCTAATAGTAAGTTTCTGCTGTGTCTCCTTTCTTCCATGTAGCCTACAGAGAAAGTACAGGGATGTTAGAGCCAGATGGCCAGGTCCAAATCCTGGGTCCGCCATTTACTTACTCAGGATTGTAGTACCTACTGCATAGGATAATTGTGCTGATGTAATGAGTTTGTATAGGTAAAATGCTTAGAACAGTGCCTGATGTATAGTAAGTGTTCATTAAAGCATAACCTACAATTAGTGCTATTCATCCTGGCTTTCTGCAAGTTAAGAATTATTATCCCTATTTCACAGAGGAGGGAACTGAGGTTTTGAGAAGTTAAGTGACTTGCTCAGTGTCACACAACCAGTTTGGAGGCAGATCCAAGTTCAAGCCTGGGCGTCCCTAACTTCAAATACTGTCCTCTTTCTACCCTTCCATGCCCCACACATGGAAGGCTTGGTGAGGCAGGGTGAAGAGAGTGGCTGTTTGTATACTTGACCAAGACTTCTCCTCAGTGAACAGGGAACTTTCTCTTTGACTGACCCAGTTTTAATGAGGTACCCATGGAACAGTGAGGGTGCTCTGGTGGCATAGTGCCTAAGGCATTTGACTGCTAACCAGAAGGCTGGCAGCTCAAACCCACCAGCCACTCCTTGGAAAGAAGGTTGGGCAATCTACTTCTGTAGTGATACCGCTTCAGAAATCCAAGGAGGGGTCACTGTGAGTCGGATCTGACTTGATGGCAGTGAGTTTGAGTATGGATCAGTGAAGTAGGAAGAGACTACCTCAGCCCAGTGAATCTTAGTCATCCAAGACAGGTTGGATATGAGGCCCTGTCATGAGGTAAACAGTGAAGTCCTTCTCAGTGTTACCTAGGGATTAGAGAGTTTTCACTCAACATTTCCTTTTTTCCACATCCTTAAGTAGTTTGGGAAATGCTGGGTATTTCAATTCCCTTTCAACTCCAAGGGGCTATGATTTTAATGAAATCAGCACAGGAGCTCTGGCCCAACCCACCAGGGGTTTTGCCCACCTCTGTGGCCTTGCTGACCCCACCCCTTGCTGCCTTCCACAGCTCGTGGAGATCATTCTGTTCTGCCTGCTGCTGTACTTCTACAAGGAGAAGAATGCCAACAACATCATCGTGGTTCTTCTCTTAGTGGCATTACTTGGTAAGTGGGGGTCTGGGTGATTGAGTTTTACCATCGCCAAGTGGCACCAAAAGCAAATACAGGTTTTGTTACAGAGCTGCGGTGAGATGGGGCCTGCACAGGTTGGTCTGTCTCTGTCGGTGGATGCAGGAAGCCTGGTCCCTGCTGAATGGAGACATTCCCATCAGTCCCATCATGCTGCTGACTTCATTCACACACTTGCTCAAACAGAGTCTACTAAGTGCCAGAAACGGTGCCAGGCCCCGCCAGGCCCTGTGTGTACAGCAAGAACAAGACAAAGAAAGCCCTCCCCTTGGGGATCCTCCATTCCAAAGGAAGGAAAAGAGTAACCAACTACATAAATAATATAAGGATGGGTGGTGATGGTTATAATGGAGAAGAATAAAGCTGAGTAAGGGGTGAGGTGGCTGAAGAAGTTATTTGAGAGAGGAGTCAGAGACAGAGTGATTCCCAGTAAATGAGCCCTGAAGGGATCAATACAAAATTTATCGGAGGTTAGGGATTCATTCTGGATTCATGGGCAAAATTTGCCTTTTTTTTTAAGAGAAATGGGTAACATGGGGGAAATGGCTCCTAAATCAGGTTGAGGCAAGGATGTAACTCTGCATATAGTTTGATATACTAAGAGAGCTATGAAAAATGCCTATTATTCCTGGAGAAGGAGAAGTCAATTGAGCAGTGGGCTTGGAGTCAGGTGTGGTGAAACCTTGCTGCTGCCTCTTAGTGACTCTGTGGCCTGGGCTGGTGACTTGCCCTCTTTAAGCCATACTGTCTAATCTTAAGGCAACCACTAATCTACTTTCTAGCTCTGTCTCTAAAAACAGTCATATGAGAACACCCAATCACAGGATGGATTGTTGCTGTTGTTAGTTGGTTGCCATGGAGTTGGCCTCCAACTCATGGTGACCCCATGCACAATGGAACAAAATGCTGCCCAGTCCAGCGCCATCCCCATGATTGGTTGGAGAACAGACCATTGTGACCCATAGGGTTTTCATTGGCTGATTTTTGGAAGTGGATCACCAGGCCTTTCTTCCTAGTTTGTCTGGAAGCTCTGCTGAAATTTGTTCAGCATCAGAGCAACACGCAAGCCTCCACTTGACAGATGGGTGGGGGCTACACTAGAGGTGCATTGGCCAGCAATCAAATCCAGGTCTCCAGCATGGAGGCCAGAATTCTACCACTGAACCAGCACTGCTTCCACCACTTGCTGGATGTTGTTGTTGTTGTTGTTATTTGCCATCAAGTCGGCCCCGACTCATAGTGACCCCTCCTTGGGTTTCCGAGGCAGTATCACTACGGAAGTAGGATTGCCCAACCTTCCTTCCCAGGAGTGGCTGGTGGGTTTGAACCGCCAGCCTTCTGGTGAGCAGTCAAGTGCCTTAGGCACTATGCTACCAGAGCTCCTGAGATAATCTTAGTGCTT